GAAGCGATGTAGTGGAGGCAGGATCCATACATAGCTTTAAGCAGAGGTATGATAAAGCTCACGGCTCAGGGAGAGTGACCTAGTAGCGATCAGTGAAGAGGCGGGGCCAGGAGCTCGGACTCGACCCCCGCAACCTCAACTAGGTGAGTACAACTAGGTGAGTACACACAACTGGCTCCTGGAGTTCAATCCCACCAAGTGCAAAGTCATGAGGATTGGGGAAGGGCAAAGAAGACCGCAGATGGAGTACAGTCTAGGGGGTCAGAGACTACAAACATCACTCAAGGAAAAAGATCTTGGGGTGAGTATAACACCAGGCACATCTCCTGAAGCGCACATCAACCAAATAACTGCTGCAGCATATGGGCGCCTGGCAAACCTCAGAACAGCATTCCGACATCTTAATAAGGAATCGTTCAGGACCCTATACACCGTGTACGTTAGGCCCATATTGGAGTATGCGGCACCAGTTTGGAACCCACACCTAACCAAGCATGTAAAGAAACTAGAGAAAGTGCAAAGGTTTGCAACAAGACTAGTCCCAGAGCTAAGAGGTATGTCCTATGAGGAGAGGTTAAGGGAAATCAACCTGACGACACTGGAGGACAGGAGAGATAGGGGGGACATGATAACGACTTACAAAATACTGAGAGGAATTGACAAGGTGGACAAAGACAGGATGTTCCAGAGACTGGACACAGTAACAAGGGGACACAGTTGGAAGTTGAAGACACAGATGAATCAAAGGGATGTTAGGAAGTATTTCTTCAGCCACAGAGTAGTCAGGAAGTGGAATAGTTTGGGAAGCGATGTAGTGGAGTCAGGATCCATACATAACTTTAAGCAGAGGTACGATAAAGCTCATGGTTCAGGGAGAGTGACCTAGTAGCGACCAGTGAAGAGGCGGGGCCAGGAGCTTGGACTCGACCCCTGCAACCTCAACTAGGTGAGTACAACTAGGTGAGTACACACACACACACACACACACACACACACACACACGCAAACACACACACGCAAACACACACACACACACACACACACGCACACACACACGCACACACACACGCACACACACACACACACACACACACACACACACACACACACACACACACACACACACACACACACACACACACACACACACACAAAATGAGTAATCGTCTGGTAAGTGTGACTCACTGGTGCACAAGTACACCTTCCATTGTATCGTAACCATTTTAACTGTTGTTCCGAGGTCCCAGTCTGGTGAACTGTGTGGCTGGTGGGTTGCTGTTGTTGTATTGTGATTGTTGATTTTACTTATGTATTATGATTGTTGTTGTTGTTACTGATGTATTATGATTGTTGATGCTGTATTATGATTGTTATTGTTGCTGTTACTGATGTTGTATTATGATTGTTGTTGTTATTGATGTTGCACTTGGTAGTTATTTTTGTTTCTGATGTTGTATTGTGATTGTTATTGTTGTTATTGATGTACTATGATTGTTATTGATGTATTTTCATTGTTGTTGCTTCTGATATTGAATTTGGTAATTATTTTCGTTGTTGTTTTTGTTGCTAATGTTGTATTGTGGTTGTTGTTTTATTGTTGCCAAAGTTGTGCTGTGATTGTTGTTGTTGTTAGTGCTAATGTTGTATTTGTTATGGTCGTTGTTGTTGCTGATGATGTATTGTGGTTGTTGTTGTTATTGCTAATGTTGTGTTTGGTAGCTACTTTTGTTGTTGTAGCTAATGTTGTATTCGGTAGTTGTTGCCAATGTTGTATCGTGGTTGCTTTTATTGTGACTGTTGTTGTTGCTGATGTTGTATTGTTGTCGTTGTTATTGGTACTGATGCTGTATTGTGGTTGTTATTGTTCCTGTTTCCAACCTCTCAATCAGCCTATCCCTGTCTACCCTATCAATTCCTCAGAGTATTGTGTGTTACTATCACGACTCCCCAGGGTCTTCTGTCCTCTAGTGTCGTCACCTTCAATTCCTTTAGCCTCTCTTCGTAGCATAATTATACCTCTTAGCTCTAGAGCTAAGAGGTATAATTATTCTAGGAAGTGTGTGTGTGATTCCCTAACTGCAGTTACCATTGCGTAGTAACTGACTGGAGTCATGCTCATGGTGTTGGCTTCAATAATAAACAGTGAACTGGACAGGGACTCCTCTGTTTGCTCACTGACAGGTCTTCCGTTTAGTTATAGCTGACACTGACGATCCTCTGAGTCCAGTCAACAGTTCACGTTATTTTAAGAACGAATTGTTCTCTTAGTTTACAATTGTTTCCTGTCGTTCTCCTCCTCATACTTCCATTTCATTTTGTAAATTTCTGTATGGTAAAAACGCCTCATTTCTCATTGAGTGACCTGTTACAAGGTGACCTGTTACAAGATGACATGTTACAAGGTGACATGTTACAAGATGACATGTTACAAGGTGACATGTTACAAGGTGACCTGTTACAAGGTGACCTGTTACAAGATGACATGTTACAAGGTGACATGTTACAAGATGACATGTTACAAGGTGACATGTTACAAGGTGACCTGTTACAAGGTGACATGTTACAAGATGACATGTTACAAGGTGACATGTTAAAAGATGACATGTTACAAGGTGGCATGTTACAAGATGACATGCTACAAGGTGACCTGTTACAAGGTGACATGCTACAAGGTGACCTGTTACAAGGTAACATGTTACAAGATGGCATGTTACAAGGTGACCTGTTACAAGATGACATGCTACAAGGTGACCTGTTACAAGGTGACATGTTATAAGATGACATGCTACAAGGTGACCTGTTACAAGGTGACATGTTACAAGGTGGCATGTTACAAGGTGACATGTTACAAGGTGACATGTTACAAGGTGACTGTTTACAAGGTGACATGTTACAAGGTGGCATGTTACAAGGTGACATGTTACAAGGTGGCATGTTACAAGGTGACATGTTACAAGGTGGCATGTTACAAGGTGACATGTTACAAGGTGGCATGTTACAAGGTGACATGTTACAAGGTGGCATGTTACAAGGTGACATGTACAAGGTGGCATGTTACAAGGTGACATGTTACAAGGTGGCATGTTACAAGGTGACATGTTACAAGGTGACATGTTACAAGGTGACATGTTACAAGGTGACATGTTACAAGGTGGCATGTTACAAGGTGACCTGTTACAAGGTGACATGTTACAAGGTGACATGTTACAAGGTGACATGTTGCAAGGTGACATGTTACAAGGTTTCATGTTACAAGGTGACCTGTTACAAGGTGACATGTTACAAGGTGACATGTTACAAGGTGACATGTTACAAGGTGGCATGTTACAAGGTGACATGTTACAAGGTGACATGTTACAAGGTGACATGTTACAAGGTGACATGCTACAAGGTGACATGTTACAAGGTGACATGTTACAAGGTGACATGTTACAAGGTGGCATGTTACAAGGTGACATGTTACAAGGTGACATGTTACAAGGTGACTGTTTACAAGGTGACCTGTTACAAGGTGGCATGTTACAAGGTGACCTGTTACAAGGTGACATGTTACAAGGTGACATGCTACAAGGTGACCTGTTACAAGGTGACATGTTACAAGGTGACATGTTACAAGGTGACATGTTACAAGGTGGCATGTTACAAGGTGACATGTTACAAGGTGGCATGTTACAAGGTGACATGCTACAAGGTGACCTGTTACAAGGTGACATGTTACAAGGTGACATGCTACAAGGTGACCTGTTACAAGGTGACATGTTACAAGGTGACATGTTACAAGGTGACATGTTACAAGGTGACATGCTACAAGGTGACCTGTTACAAGATGACATGTTACAAGGTGACATGCTACAAGGTGACCTGTTACAAGGTGACATGTTACAAGGTGACATGTTACAAGGTGGCATGTTACAAGGTGACATGTTACAAGGTGACATGTTTACAAGGTGACATGTTTACAAGGGTGACCTGTTACAAGGTGACATGTTAACAAGGTGGCATGTTACAAGGTGACATGTTACAAGGTGGCATGTTACAAGGTGGCATGCTACAAGGTGACCTGTTACAAGGTGACATGTTACAAGGTGACATGCTACAAGGTGACCTGTTACAAGGTGACATGTTACAAGGTGACATGTTACAAGGTGGCATGTTACAAGGTGACATGTTACAAGGTGGCATGTTACAAGGTGACATGCTACAAGGTGACCTGTTACAAGGTGACATGTTACAAGGCGGCATGTTTACAAGGTGACATGTTACAAGTGGCATGTTACAAGGTGACATGTTACAAGGTGGCATGTTACAAGGTGACATGTTACAAGGTGGCATGTTACAAGGTGACATGTTACAAGGTGGCATGTTACAAGGTGACATGTTACAAGGTGGCATGTTACAAGGTGACATGCTACAAGGTGACCTGTTGCAAGGTGACATGTTACAAGGTGACATGCTACAAGGTGACCTGTTACAAGGTGACATGTTACAAGGTGACATGTTACAAGGTGACATGTTACAAGGTGGCATGTTACAAGGTGACATGTTACAAGGTGGCATGTTACAAGGTGACATGCTACAAGGTGACCTGTTACAAGGTGACATGTTACAAGGTGACATGTTACAAGGTGACATGTTACAAGGTGACATGTTACAAGGTGACATGTTACAAGGTGACCTGTTGCAACGTGACATGTTACAAGGTGACATGCTACAAGGTGACATGTTACAAAGTGGCATGTTGCAAGGTGGCATGTTACAAGGTGACATGTTACAAGGTGACATGTTACAAGGTGACATGTTACAAGGTGACATGTTACAAGGTGACCTGTTACAAGGTGACATGTTACAAGGTGACCTGTTACAAGGTGACATGTTACAAGGTGACCTGTTACAAGGTGACATGTTACAAGGTGACCTGTTACAAGGTGACATGTTACAAGGTGACATGTTACAAGGTGACCTGTTACAAGGTGACCTGTTACAAGGTGACCTGTTACAAGGTGAGCAAAGTTGGGAAATGACAGAAATAATATGTAAAACTAATATGTGTGTTTGTGTTCTTACTAAGCTCCTCTTGATCCAAGGAATTGGAGTTATTTAATTCCTTTCCCCAGGAACTGTATGGCTTATAGGGTTTAACATTTATTAATAATAACAGTAAATTATTAATAATAATAATCACAAAATAATAATAATAGGTATTATAGTCATGTTTGATGTGGTAGAGCTCCAGCTGCTGGCCCCGGTTCTAAACTTTGAGTCAGCTATCACTATACTGGTTGGTAGGTAAGACACATAGGCAACAGTTAGGCAACTTTATTCCGAAACGTTTCGCCTACACAGTAGGCTTCTTCAGTCGAATACAGAAAGTAGGCAGGAACAGTAGATTATTATTATTATAATCAAGGGGGAAGCGCTAAACCCGGAGGATTATACAGCGCCTGGGGGGGATGTGGAAGGCATTCAGGCTTAATTCGGAGAACTGGAGCCCCTCACCAACATCAAGGAACCTTCCTTGAGGGGTACAGTAGAAATGTGAAGACGATGTAATCAGTCCATCACCCTTGAAGTCGTAGAATTTTGAGGTTGTCAGTCCCTCAGCCTGGAGAAGTTCAGTTCCATAGTCAGGAACTATCTGATAGTTCCTGACTATGGAACTGAACTTCTCCAGACTGAGGGACTGACAACTTCAAATTCTACGACTACAAGGGTGATGGACTGATTACATCGTCTTCACATCTCTACTGTTCCTGCCTACTTTCTGTATTCGACTGAAGAAGCCTACTGTGTAGGCGATACGTTTCGGAATAAAGTTGCCTAACTGTTGCCTATGTGTCTTACCTACCAACCTGTCGGTATTGTATACCATTTTAATGTTCACTATACTGGTACCTAATGTTCTTCCAGCCTCCCAATCATTATCATAATAACAATGTCATACAAATGATGATAAATATGATTTGCCTTTATAATCAATAATTATAAATATATAAGTAAACTTGAAACTTTAGAGAAAAATACGTATATTTTGAGCACAAGCTCGAGGAAACACTTGTCCTAGTTCCTGACGGACGTTATACCGTCCATTTGTTATCCGTGAGTTATTCATTATTCTTGAAAATAGTAGAATAGAGAATAGCAAAATATTTTGATGGCTTCTGTTTTTCATGTTTATGGATCAGATTCAGCAACGATGTGTCGACTAGGTCACAGGTTGGAAGTGATGGGTCAAGGTCACCCGTTACTCATTACTCATTATTGTCTTGTATGGTGTCAATGTCATATTTATATCATAGTATCATACTCCCCACCTACCTCCTCCCCCACCTAGTTCCTTCCCAAAGTAATTGTTTCCTCCCACGTACTTCCCTCCCCCACCTACCTTGCTTACCTAGCTCCTTCCCTATCTTGCTCCTTGTTCACCTCAATCTCGTCCACAACAAAATCTGTCTACCACAACATGTCTAGCACAACCATCACAACACATTACCATAACCACAACACCTGTCTACCACAGCCACCGCAACACCTGTCTATAACAAGAACCACAACACATCTCTACAATAACGACTACAACCGCCAAGACAACACCCCTCCACAGCAACTAAGACATCACCTGTCTACAGCAACCAGGACAACACATGTCTTAAATAAACAAGACAACACTGTCCGTAGAAACCAAAACAACACCTGTCTACAGCAATCAAAGCAATACATGTCTACAACAACAAAAACAACATATGTCTACAGGAACTAAGACAACGCGTCTACATCAAACCAAGACAACACCTGTTTACAGCAACTAAAACATCTGCCTACAACTACTACCACACCACCTGTCTATAACAACCACCATAACACCCACCTACTATAACAACCCCAATACATGTCTGCCGTAAACACCAAAGCTCCAGTTTGCCACAAACACCTGTCAACAACAATCATCACATATCTACAACAGCAACCACAACACCTGTCTACAACAACCGCTACAACACCTGTCTACGGCAACAATTTAATATTGGGGTAAACAAATGAATATAATTAAAAAAAATAAATAAAAGATAAATGAAGTATGTAAAGAAATAATTAATGAAAATATTACCATGATTTTTCATAAAATAATATTATACTTTATTTGCTTCCACAAATTGCATTTATTAATATTTTGGTATAATTGTTTCTTATGTGACTATTTTAAATAAGTTATATATTTATTTTGTCCCCTGTAAGTAGTGACATCGATCGACACCATGCCTAACCCTTCTAGGGTAGGGTAGGTGCCTGAGCCCGAGCCTTTAGCTCATAAGCCTGTCATTCCCATTTGCCCCCTTGGGGCGGGGATGGCAGACCAGAGAGGCCTAGCTTGTGGCTAGGCCTGGGGACAGTTGGTCCCAAAGATGAGGAGGTACTTGTGCCTCCTCCCATGGGAGACTTAGGTCTCAGATACTCCCTAAAGAGGGAGCCAAGGCCGGGCCACCACTTGGACAAGGCCCGGGCCGGGAGAATACCGGCCAATCTTTAACTAACTAACTAGTGACATCATCGACACCATGCCCAGCCCTTCCAGGGCAGGGTAGGTGCCCAGCCCTTCTAGGGCAGGGTAGGTGCCCGAGCCAGAGCTTGCAGCTCACAAGACTGTCATTCCCTAATTAGGCCCCTTGTGGCGGGGATGGCGGACCAGAGGCCTAGCTTCTCCCTACTAGAAGCTAGGCTTGGGGACAGTTGGTCCCAAAGATGAGGGGGTATTTGTGCCTCCTCCCATGGGAGACTTAGGTCTCAAACACTCCCTAGACAGAGAGCCAAGGCCGGGCCACCACTTGGAAAAGGCCCGGGCCGGGAGAATACCGGCGAATCTTTAATAATAACAGTGACGCATCATACCAAATCTTGGTTCGCAGTGCAGAGAAATCCGTCCTGAGTCGCTCGGGTTGAGACCCAGAACGGTGGTGACTCCAGTGGACCAGATTTTTCTTGGGAGTGGAGCGATTCTTGTCGCTCAAAACATTAAAACTTCAACATCGAGTTTCTTTATCTGTTGCACCAGTTGGTCTGCCACGTCCTAAGAGCCCCTGGAGGGCGGGGTAGATGGCAGACTAGCTGTGAGTTTGGGAATGCTCGTACCGGTGAACATCGCCGTACTTAGACGCCACTGCACCAAAGACACTGACAGTGGCTACTAGCTACTACTCACTGCAGACGTGCCCTCTTCTCCCTGTGAGCGCGGCAATTGTAGCTGGGACGGCCCCGGCGTTGATCTGAAACGACCAACACCACCAGGAAAGTCACAACGGCTGAGATTTGTTAAGGCGAGTCCTGACGAATATATACAAGTGCAAGAGTATTATTCACGTATTATACATACGTTAAATTTTTAAACTGGTAGACCGGTAAACCAGGGAAAGGTTTCAGTCAGATGACCACAAGCTCCAGCGGTGGGTCATCGTATGACTTGAGACTCGCGTCAGGAAACATTTGACCTGTTTCCTGACGAATCTCACCTAACGTAACCTAGTATTCAAGAGGTATACAATTTGATCAAAACGGGTCGTCGAAAGATAAGATCTATGTCAGAACTCTGTCTTGATGAATATCATAACAAGTAGTCACGCACAGGATATGTACTCTGAGGGATATATTTCTCTTATCGCATATATATGCTGACAGTTAACCGTAACGACATCCTTGCCATGCTACCACTAACCATGTACGTGTGTCTCTGTGCGGTGTGGCAAAAGTCCCTACCCACTGTCGTTTTGATGGCTGAGCCCGACCACTCATGAACTGCTGAGCCCGACCACTCATGAACTGCTGAGCCCGACCACTCATGAACTGCTGAGCCCGACCAGTCATGAATTGCTGAGCCCGACCAGTCCTGAACTTCTGAGATCGACACAGTTGATGTCGCACGACCTTGCTGCTGGGTCTAGCCCCGACTCTCTTATTACTATAGCTCTTCCTCGTCCCCTCAACGCCCCCCCCCTATTCTTCTCCTATCCCCCACTTCCCACTCACCCTTCCTGGGTCTCTACCCGAGAGTTAGTCTACTCTGGTCTACTAGATTTCACTCGTCACACTGCTAACGTGTCTGTCACCACTAGCTCGCCCGTGCCTAGGTTAGGTTATTACGCTACTGTCCTTCCTGCTGCTTCTTATTACATCTTTGCTATTCTTAATGCCATGACAATGTAAGTAGCGTGGCACTCTGGCTAGTATGGTGCTACATGGTAGCGTGGCATTCTGGCTAGTATGGTGCTACATGGTAGCATGGGACTCTGGCTAGTATGGTGCTACATGGTAGCGTGGCACTCTGGAAGACCCGGGATGCCTCACAGGAACTCCACACTGGCCCAGATCTGGCCACGGCCCAAATGATTCTACGCCCACACTAGCTCTCCAGGGGGGGAGGAGGAGTGACTGCGGCGGCCTTGGTGATGGTGGGTGGTGGTAGTGGTTGGTGGTAGCGGTTAGTGGTAGTGGTTGGTGGTAGTGGTTGGTGGTAGTGGTTGGTGATTGTGATAGTTTTAAATCGTGGAGGTGGTTGTTGTTGGAGTTAGCGGTGGTGGTTTGTATACCTAGAGTCTACAACCCTAGAATTATGTAAACTAGATCCTAGGATACGCAGATCTGCGTAAATTATAGAGTATACGAACCTGTTTATACTAGAATGTAAAGTACGGGACTGTATACACTAGAACCTAAACTCGAGGACATACCCTAGATTCTAGAATATATGTCTAGGGTATATCATATATTCTAAAATATATATCTAGGGTATACCCTAGATTCTAGGGTATATGAGTTGAGGTTTTAAACAACTGCTAACAACCGTACGTCGCCTCTTAAGAAAGAACGTTATATAACAGCTGACTAACTAGTCAGTGTTTAATACAGCAGCAGGTTGTTACGTTAACCTGTACAGGAGCCGTATGTTGTATTAGACATATTAACGTAGTGTATAACAGCCAGCTATGTTACATGCATCATCTGACTGGAATAT